AATTATTTTAATGTACTTGTATAATTCTGATTTAATCACAGTCAGGATAATAGAATAATAGGATAATATTTATGGTGTTCCAGGCTCATTTTCTTCCAGCCACTTGATCAAATATAGTTGCATCTTGGAAAACAGACTTTCTTACAGAACTAAAAAGCAAAACATAACAAAAAAGCCACAGCTATTTGAAAAAAGAAGTCTTGAGACAAGTAGCTTAGAGTTGCAAAGACATTACAAAGTACGTGGAGGAGATGTCTGCTTCTACCACTGCTAAGCTATTCTTGACTGCAGTGGAGCCCGTTTTAGCTCTGTACTATTTCTGTTACAGGAATGGGCTATCTGGGGTGAGACCTTTTGAGTAGATCATTGGTCTCCTGAAACCTCACTCTGATATGCAGGTTGAAGTAATGCAAGGGTGGTTACAGAGTTTTGGTTCTAAAGGCTTTGATGTAGCAGTTTAGACTTGTGTGTTTGTTTTTTAAATAAGAACTAAGGAATTGAAGATTTGTTACAAATAAGCAATCATTCCTGCGGTGATATTGGTGGTATTTTAGTGTATCACTCCCATGGGGAAAAACACTTCAGAGCTGAGAAGTATGCCCAGTTAGCTCTTCTTTTTTGTTCTTGCCCTTTCAAATAAGATAAAAATAGGCCAGCCACCTAAGGAATGAGTGTTGTGACCTACATTCAGAAGTCAATTGGTTAGCTTATTTGTTAATACAGACCTGCCAGATTCTAGAAAAGACAACTATTTTGCAAACTTCTGCAGCTAGGGGAAGAAGTTACTCTTGAGCAAAGGCCTTTGATTTCAGTAAAGTTGTGCTGGGGAGCAGAGCCATAAATGACATGTTTCTTGAAACCTTTTTGGTGCACCTCAGTAGTTCTTTACACTGAAAGTCCTATTAAAATTTAAGATCTTTCCTGCAAGTTTTTGAAAACCTTCTTTTCAGATACCACTTGATGTCACACCACATCACTTACGCATGGAGCCATGTGCATATTTAACACGTTTGCTTACATTAAAAGGCTGTGATATTGTAACTTTTCAAAAGCATTGTCTTGGAATGTCACAGGATTTCTTTCTGTTATTGCTGTTGCAGTTTATTATGGCTTGTTTGGTGTGATAAAAATGTGCAGCCATTGCCTTAGAATGATCAAAGGGGAATTCCAGATTTGTTGCAAATTTAACTCTGGGTTTCATCTTCCGTTATCATAAGGGCTTTGTATTATTTTTGTCCTTAATTGACATTCTGAAAATGAGATGGCATGAGATGTTCAGAAAAAAAAAATACTGCTCTTTGATACTGTTTATACTAGTAGGATATAATTAGTTGCATAAGTTTCCTAATTTAACATGTCAGATTTATTTCAGGAATAATAAAGTTTCTGTTTCTTACTGACTTCTTTGTAATGTATTCCATGCAGAAGTCTTTGACATTTTTTTGTGGGGATATCCTTCCCTTTACAAAGCTACCAACTTTTGCTCTGAAAGCTTCTGAATTCCAAATCACACCTCTGGATGTGTGCACAAGGGCAGTAGCACTTTGTATGGCCTGTATTGATAGGTTTTCATGGACATCCCCCATTGGCCACTGCAGAAGAAAAGATGCAGCGTTAGCTGAATTGCAAGAGCCTGTATGGTATTATTCTTGTCTTTTGCGTTATTGATGGAAAAAGACTGAAAAATTATTTCTGGAAAAAATGTAATGCTGCCATCAAAGATTTAACTAGCTATTTTAGCCTTCTAGATCTGCTGGAAAGGATGTAGCTCAGTAATGACCAGGATAGTATTGAACATCAGGTCTTTGCATGTGAACTAACAGAGCTGCATCACACCATGCCCTTGGTATAATAATGGAGGTTCCATATTCTGATTAGAAAACCAGTCGTGTGCAACACCCAAAGGACTTGCTTGTTCTCATGCTATTGAAAGTAGGAGAAATTATTTTATCTCTTTCTTTTTTCCAGCTTCTGGCAACTAATGAACTAGCTCCAGGTGCTTTATGGGTAACTCCACAGCTTTCATCTTTTCAGGCATCATTTCAGAGTCAGGATCTGGTGCGGTTAGGGTAACAATATATTTCTATATGTTTGTAGAAACAAATAACAACATGATATTTACAATTAACAAATAACAGTGATGACAACATAAATATGTAGCAAATCAAGTCTTATTGGGTACTGAGGAGATACAAATTTAAAACTCTGTAATTATAGCACACAAACCTTTGTAGGCACTTTCTTTCAGGTACAACGAATTAAAGTGGACATTTAGATGCCCTTCAGTATAAATCTGCAGTGATTTGCTGCATTTGAAGCAGTCTGTGACTCTATACATGTGCATGTTTCTCACCTACACATTGTTTTGAAGGAATCTTAGGAAGTTACCCAGTCCAGCTGGGAGATACACTCTTCCCAGTCGTGTGAGATGGCTTTGTCTAGACAGGTCCTAAATTTCCCTGGTTGAAGGTCACCCCACCTTACTGAATAACCTGCAGATCTGCAACACCTGCCTGCTGAAAAAAGAGGGGGGGTTGACATGGGGAGGGAAGAATGGAAGAGCCATCCTGAACCTCCCAAGTGGCAATTTATGGTCATTGTCCTTTTATATATGTTCTGTCACTGCTGAGAAGATTTTGGCTTCTTCATCATTGTGATTTACCTTCAAGTAAATGTAGGCTGCTACTGGGTCACCTGTTAGATCACCCTTCTGTCAGACCAAACATGATCAGCTCCATCAACTGCTCCAAGACAAAAGCTCAAGGCTCCTGAGTATCATGGTTGCCCTCCAGTATCTCCTCTTCTTCACATCCCTGTTCAGCTGGGAAGATTCACAACTGACTGCCCTAGTGTGTGAGGCTATCCTGAGTAGAGAAGAAAACCTTTTCAGCCTGCCAGTCCCAGTCTTCTGGTGTAGTTGCTTGCTGCTTGCCTTATTTCTGATAAAAGCATGCTGTTGGCTTGCTCAATGTGCTGTGTCCACAGAAACACCCTTTTTGCTGGGCCTGCAACCCAAACAGTGGGTTCCCAGCCTGAATGGATACATGGGATTGTTCTGCACCAGGTGCAGATGTCTGCCTTTTCCTTAGCTGTGCTTGTAGGTGTTTATGGTCACGTCTGGAATTTTCTTGTTCTATCTCAGTCGTTGTGTACTGACCAGAGCAGTGGAGATGACACAATCTTTAAAACCTTTGTGATTCTTTGTGATTGGTAGAAAAGATTAAATGCTCATGTATGCTTCATTCCTCCTCTTTCCTGGTGTTGTTCATGGATAGCAGACCTCTCCTGGAATCCTGTCATGGGCACTAAATAACATCTAACTTCTATATTTTGCTTGGTTTTTGTTGGTTTGGCTTTTTTTTTTTGGTTGTTCTTTTTTGGGGCGAAGTGGGTTTTTATTTTTTTGTTGTTGTGGTGGTTGTTTTTGTTCTTATTCTTGCTGGAGAGTTATTTTCCACCTCAGGATTTTCAGTAGATAAGTATCAGGAATGTTTATGCCTACCTTAGTAAAAACCTGGTTTACATTTATTTTTTGAGGCTTGATCTACTAAATTTTCTCATTTGTACTGGCCTTCCTTTCTGACTCAAGAATGGTGATCCAGGGGAAGTGACTAATTTTCTATAAAAATCAAAATAGATCCACAGCTTTCTGTAAAGAAGACTGCAGAAGGCTTGCTTTGAGAAAAGTCACCAAGAAATGGATCAGGGAAAGTTCATGCATGTGCTCTTTCTTCTATTTGTCATAAGGTTTATTTCTTAAATGAGATTAGGAACTGTGTTTAGGAAGGTGGATAGTAGGTTAGTATTGGAGCTTCAAATTAATCTACAACCTTTGAAAGCAGAATCTTCCTCCTCTTAAAGCAAGACATGAGTAAAGAGTGTTTTTTTATAATTATCTTTTTGCTGTAATTTTTTCTCCTTTCACAAAACCCATGCAATGAGCATTATATGTGGGGATGAGACTCTTATCTCAGATCTGTTTTTCTTTGTGTGTCTCTGAAGAGGCATTTCTTGTCTTTTTTATTGAATGTCTTGTGTGATGTGGGGACTCTTGGGAAACTTTCCATGGTCTCATGTGATGAAAGAACCTGCCCAAAATTACAGATTTTATTCTAAGGGATGGTATATGAATTTCTAGTAGGCATTAAATATGTGTTCTCAAAGGAGAAGTGATTTTAGTGAATTATAGGAAGAATTTATAAAGATTTTAATTGTCTGTGAGAGAGTACTTATGTGACAGGTTTTCAAAGTAGCTCCTGAACAATATCTTAATGATCTAGACTCCTTTCTTTGCTGGACACTTTTTAAAGTTTCTCTGTTGTTCAACTTTTTAAATCAAAAATAGGTCATGATATCTATTCAGACTTGATGATCTTTGCATGCTCCAAGTTTGACTATATTTTTAATAGCTGTTCACCCTGTTTTACTGTTGATTGTAACTTAATTAAGTTTCCTGAATTGAATGAAAGTACAATTGAACTAGTATGTCACAATAACTTCAGATAATTGTAGCATCAAATAGAATACCAAAAATTATTCAATTAATAATAGTGATTTCCCTATTCATGATAATAAGCATAATTAATATACTTAACAATACTCATAAAAATGCAATTAAATTTTTCATAATTGTTTCAGTGGAAAGGAAAAGCACATAGTTTGTTAATTTGTTAATCTTTTTATGGAGAAGATCTATACAAGGAAAACCCTTTATTCCTAGGCAACGTAAACTACTGGCAGTGCAAATAAATCTCACTATGGTAAGGTAGTTATTTCTTAATAATTCAGAGGTAAAACTTAGTTTTCAAGTGTTTACCATTCTTATATGGCCCATATTTTCATTAATATGAGTGGTGAAAATTAATGAAATTTGCAACTGAAGCACATTTCAGATTTTAACTGAAGCAAAATAGAGTCTTCTGCTCTTAGGTAGAAAAGATGAAGTAGAAAGCATGAATAATACTATCTAACAAAAATCTTTAACATGTATACATAGTAGATGTAATTTACTCTGTTATTCCTAATGAGGCAGATGTTTTTATTTCACAATAAATATTGCTTTTTCTCATTAACATTAACACCCATACCATTTCTCAAAACATTAACATAATAGAGCATGCATTCTTGGCTTTTTAAGTTAATGCTTGTGCATCAAGAGTCACTTGTAAACATGTCTTATATAAAATATACTGAATTTGGGGGAACTTGCAATTGTTTTTTCTCCTTGTTTTCTCTGCAAGATTTTTTATTTCTTTTTGTAGGTTGGTTTTTGCAGACTTCCTATAAGACAGCAGATGTAGATTACCCAAGTGATTGCCACCACAGGTCATTTAAGGTAGAAAATTCTTGAACTGCTCAGTTTATCAATTGCAAAATAATTTTAAGGAGTTGCCCTTTCATGTGCAAAACCCTCCTTCCTTTAAAGATATTAATTAAAAGTTCAAAGTCTGTCTTATAGGTCAGTTGCACCTAATCAAGAAATATTTTCAATTTTCTGTTGAGTATTAGGTTTATCTTGTGATAGCTATCTGAGCTGCAGTGTAATTGCGTTACAGGAAGCTCAGCAAAACGTTCATCATTTGGGGCACTGAAGTGTAGTCTCAGACAGTGTCTTCTGCTTGAAAGACTATGTGATTATTTCTTAATATATATAGTCTGGTCTAGTGATGCAGAGGTGAGCACAGTCCTCCAGCCAGGTCTATCAGAAATTTTTTCTTTGGACTTCATCCAAGAAAATCTTCAGACATAAATGTGTGTGTTTTCCTTAACAGAGATGGACATAAATATGTCTCTACGCATTTTCTTGAAGAGTGAATAATTTTCAAAAGCATGAAGTACCTGCAGCTTCCTTTCATTATTCAATTGTGCATTCAATGGGTAATTCACTTTTTTTTCTCCCCACTTGTACAGAATGAAGTTTAACAAATGAATCATGCTCTTAAACTGATTAGAAATAATGAAGAAAGGAAGTTCAGTACCTGCCCACATCTTGATTTAAGCAATATATTCCGTTTGTCTTGGCTTCCTTCTTGCTTTGAGACTCCATAGTTTGACCAAGCAAACATATTAATGCCTTTGGAGATTTCTGTAGAATTTTAATTCTTTTATTGCAGTCATACCTGATATCATATAGAAGGAACAGGCTGGTGTCAGAAGTCAAATATGGTCAAACCAAGAGAATAAAAACTTTATGCTTTGAGAAAAAAAATGCTACTGAACACATTCAGATACTTCCTATTTCACTTTTCTCGTATATTAGAACACTTGCACACACTCTTGAAGTCATTCAGTCAGAAACAGCATCTAACTTCTCCTAGGGCATTACATTTAATTCCTTTATGTGGCCTAAGCTCATCCATAACTGAGGTATCTAGAAGTAAATGCACAAATCTTTCCCCTTGAAGCTCTCGTGACAGGAGTGCACTTAAAACTTACTGCTGTGCCTTTCTGACTATGGGTGAGAGTCCTGACGTACCTAAGAGGGTCTTTTGTGGGAAAATTAAGATGAAAACTTTGGATGTGTTTCTGTGAGTGATGGAGATGGAGGGCCACTGATCCTTGGCAGTGAGTTTGAAAATGTAGCCACTCTCTCTGTGAGAAAAGTCTCTGTAAGTGCATCTTTTTAACAGTGGAACTGCCCTGTCACAGGAGAGATGAAGGTGATGGATCAGTTGAAGCTGGCTTGATGAGGCTGGTGTGATATCCAGACTACTGCCAGGCTGGTAAGCAGGTGATGTCCTCTTCCCATCAGCACCAGAGAAAATGAGATTTCCAGAAAAATCACACAGTGAATTCATCAGCTTGAAAAACTCTTTTACATCCAAGAAAGTTATGCTGACTGAGGTCAGAAGAAGTCTCTAAATTCATTAGGAGGAAAGAAGTCTCTTTTTCTGTTTACATCTGTCTGCAGTTGATATCTATCTGTAGAGTCAGGTTTATTCACATGTACCAGAAGAATCATTGCCACAGGAAGGAGCACAGTCTTGGTGTTTGCAGCTCTGTGCAGAAGGATCTGTATAGATGGCAGGAAATGTAAACCCGTGTGGGAACGAGCTGCTTGCAGGTATCTGTGCAACAGGTAGCGAAAAAGGAAGAGCTTATGCTGGCAGTGGGAGGGTTTTTCCTAGACCTGTCCTTCAGACTTTTCTGAATGTAGTTCTGAGAATTTAGGAGCATCAAATCACAGACTCATTCAGGTTGGGAAAGGTGTTTAAGATCATAGAGTCCAATTGTAAATCTAACACTGCTAAATCCACCAGTGAACCACATCCCTGAGTTCTGTGTCTACCACAGTTCTTTTAAATGCCTATAGGGATAGGAAGTGAATAACTTCCCTGAGCAGCCTGCTCCAATGCTTGACAGTCCTTTCTGTGAAGAAATTTTTCCTAACATCAAATCTAAACCTCCCCTGGCACATCTTGAGGCCGCTTCCTCTTGCCCTATTGCTTGTTACTTGGAAGGAGATACCAGCCCCCACCTCACTTCAACAGGCCTTTCTCATGCCTTTGGCCACACTTACTAGGAATGTTAATATAATGCTTCTTCTTCAAGGAGGTTCCATTACACTTCAGGTGCAGCTATAGTTAGTTACAGTAAGTGTGCATGCCCTCAAGTGACTTATTCAGCTTTTGGTTGATGAATGTGTGCATGTTTCTCTCTTTGATATGTCCCAACCACATCTGCAGACTGAAGATGAAGCAGAATTTAGAGCAAAAGACAAACAGCTTTGCTAATATCTGAGGGCATTGTAAATTTTTATATAATACAATTTGCTCAAACAGACGTATTTCTTTCCCCTTAAGCTTGGAAAATAGAGATTTCATTTAGTGGATGGAGGTACTGTCTGGAAGGGAGTTATCCTTCCTGAAAGGTCACACTGACTGCTGACTAAACTTGTGATTTTTCTTTGCAAAATAATTTGTTTGCTGGGTGGGGTGTTGGAGTTGAGAGATTATTGTTGGCTACAATGAGACAGATGATGGTCCTGAGTTACAAATACTCTTGGAAGGAATTTTGACTTTCGTCCTGAAAATTCTTGTGGACATTAGTTTTAGTGGTGTTATTAATAGATTTAGGTATTTACAGAGTAATTACTAGAAGCCATCAAACTCAACATTGATAATCTTTCCTTCATGAATGATGGCAAAAACTCCTCTGAATTACAGAGATTTTATAAAGCTTCCTAAGTTTTACTTGAGAAATTCTCCCATGGAGAGAGGAAGGACTAATCTGAAATCTTCAATGCTCCCATGTTATATGTGGACACTCTGCATGAGATTTTGCTGTTTGAGATATTACATGAGGAGAGTTATGGTGAGAGCATTTGTGGCACTGCAGAGGCAGAAGAAGTTATCTAGGTGGGAACACAATCATTGAGGGAAGGGAGAATTTATGAATGTCTATTTGACTGTAACAGCACTTGACTGATACTATATATTACTTTCAGGTTAGAAATGTGCTTGTCTTCTATTAATAATATATTTTTAATATTCATCCCCCCCCTCCCCTTCCTACCTGTTTTCTGTAGCGAGAAAGCTGAAGAGATAGTATGAGTCAATTTACTGGATTTATATGTAAATAAAACATAGTATTGACCTTTACATTTTTCTTCCATCGAGGTCTTGACCCTGTATGCAGATCTGAGGAAATATCATGACATGAAAGTTTTGCTCACCACCTGATTGTGTTCCTGATTGCTTTTCCTTTGGTAAATATTCATGTAAATCTTGCTGAAGCTGAGCCTCAGCTGGTTTATTCCCATTTGGGTCCACTCTTTGCTGGAGCTGAGGTCACTTTTTAGCTGCTCTTACAGGTCATTTCATGGGAAGGGCTGCAGCTGGACAGCAAGATGCAGTCCTGTGTCTGACCTCCAGCATGGCTGTATCTACACTTGGAGGAAAACCTGGGGAGATGCATCTGAAATACCCTCTGGAATTCAGAAACTCGGTGAGAAATGCAGTCCTCAGGGACTTTTTCTGCAGAAGGGGATTCAGTCAGTCTTACTCTTGTCCAGGGAATTTTTCCTTGAAACCATAACTGAGTTAATAATACACAGGAAATATAAAAGGCATCTAAAAGTATATTAATATTAGATTAAATGTTGTTATTGCTGATGTTCATGAATGGGAAAGCTGGAACTGAAGTAACTGTACTGAACTGAGCACAATATCACACCAGTAAGTGTCAGCAGGAAAGTATTTACTTGGAAAAATCCTTTGTATGATCCTGCTCTCCAGGATTTTTCATATGTCCATATCTGTAAATTATCTCACCACAATGAAAGTTCATGGCATTTTTTTAGCTTGCCTGTATCACAAACTTTAGGAGTTAAATACTGTAATGGATAGTGACTGAGAACTCAGGTATGTTAAGATAAAACAGTGACAATTCATATATGATCTCTACCTGAGTGATAACATTTACTAGCAGAGAACTCATTTATTTAAGAAATATGATTTTATGAAATTTTGATGGTGTTTTTCAAGCTTATGAATCCATGACAAAATTGTATTCTTCTCTGTCTTAAGTATAAAATCTCTATGAAGGAAGATTTCAATGCAAATTATCCTGGCTGAAAATGTGAACAGTTATAAAGATTTGGAAGGAATTTGCAGAAGAGAGATCTCTTGACTGACCAAGAGATCTGAAGTGTATTTTGGTTTTGGAAATGGGATCAGTATATTAGAGAGGCCCATTCATCTCCCAGTCTATATTTAGCTGCAGTGAACCAGTGACTGCCTTCATCACAGGGCAGCGTGTATCCCAGTCATGCCTTATGACCCCACAGGGTATCTGCTCTAGTCAGTATTTTGAGAAGGCTCAGTAATAAAGTTCTGTCTTTCAGCCTTGTCTTCAAACGTGAGGCATACTTTAATGGATATGTGGCCTTGGCAGGTTATCTGTTCCAAGTATGGATCTGTGGATTAATTTCCAGCTGAGGGCTGCCTTCCCTACCTCTAGAGGGTGTGCAGGTGGTGGCAACAAATCACTGCACATACAGTTCATACTGTTTTCTGGCAGGAGAATAGAATTGTTGTCTTGCAGTCTAGCCCTGGGAATTTCTGGTTAGATGTTCCAAAAAATCATTAGCATGTTAATTTGATTAAAAACAGTAATTAATGAAGAGCACTGGAAAATTGTTAGGACACCTTGTGAAAATGATGGCACATAGAGGTACAGTTCTAGAGGATGTAATTTACTGATCTGCAAATTTCTTTCATGTAACAAATGCAGAATATACAAGTTCATGATGAAATAATCCGAGCATTTAAATAATTCTGCATTTTTCTAAATCACTGCAGACAACAGTTGTCACTGTCTTTTATGCAGGGTGATAACTCAGTCATCATTGTTGAGATGGACCTTTATAATTCCTAGTATGACCTCTGTTGAGCTAATATCTCAAAGGTATGACCTATCTGTCATCACAGCTCAAATTATTAAAACTTAATATTTTGGTTCTTGCAACCTCCTTCTGTCTGGACTCAGCAGTGTGCTCTGTGTGCTCATCCCTCTGGCTGTACAACCCTTGCTCCTCAGCAGCTCCCTCCTTGCCTGGGGAGAAAGTTACTTCTCTTCACTTTCAATAGCTGTAAAAAGTATCTGGTTAGTTAATTTCTAAAAATACATTTATGGGTGAATAACAAAACCAGAAAGTCAGCTTTGCATGATTCATTAAGTGGAAGGAAACAACAAATGGAACTGTTCCTTTTTGCTGGGTCTGACACCCTCAGCAGCATGTGTATGCCAATAAACTCCTTGACAGTAGACTAGCATTACTTACTGCAACTAAACCCAACCTCAGTAAAACTGTAACTAAGCCTATGATATGTTATTTTCCCATCACTTTTTGAAAGTGACACTTATTTTGGCAGATGCTGAACTGTTGCATGAGCTAGGAATTTCATTGTTTAACAATTTTATGAAGATTAATTATCACATAGTTGATGAGAGTCTCCTTCCTGTGTTATTTGTCTTTGTCTGAAGGTACAAAATTAGAGAAATGGATGACTGGTGGAAGAGCAAGCAGAATGGCAACACAGCTTCTCACATGTGGCAGGGAAAGTAGGATGCAGATGAATTAATAGTGCTAAAGATACACCTAACTTTACAATTTTCTGTGAGGTTGGGAGCTGAAACAACTGCAAAATTAAGTTGCTGGTAGAGATTGGTAAGAATATGTGGAAAACAGTCAATAACAGGGTATAACATACTGAAATCAGTCACGTGGGTTCTTTCAAACAGGTTGCTGTAAAAATCCTAGGGCTTGACAATCTCTGAGAAAGGTACACATGAATTGGAGTAGTTTGTTCATTTTCAGGTATGTTTTTAGGAAGCTGCTTCTCCCAAACCACACTTCTACATCTGTATACTTTTGCATTCTCTAGTATGGAATGAGGATGGACTTAATGCTCTTGAGATAGTTTAATTATTTCAAGTGATCATATTGCTGTGATATCATCACTGTGTCTTCTGGGACATTCTACCAGACCTCTAAAACTGTGTGTAAATTATGCCCAAATTCTTCAAAAACAGGAGTGAAAAAGAGTATTTTTGCTTATGACCTTGGATGAAACAGCAATCCAGATCTTTGCAACTAAGTGTCTTAAATAGTTTTTCTCTCTTACAAACTAACCTCTGGATGACAGGTGTTTAAAATTGATATATATATCAAGGCAGGTAGGTGTCTAGATAGGCTGAGTTCACTGTGCTTACTGTTTCAGTTCAGCATTGAATCATTCAATACATGTTCATTAAAACAAACCTTTGTATTCCCCAAAGACATAGCAAGTAAGTCTGCCAGCTCTTGTATCCTGAGGGGAAAAAAGAAAACTGAAATCACAAAAAAAACCCAAAACACAAACAAACAAACAAAAAAGCCAAAAAAAAAACCCTAACATAACCCACTGGATTTTTTTTTTGTTTTCATATGGAGAGTCATATCAAGCTTTTGAGTCTGAAGTGTTTCTAAATTCTTTTTCCAATGGAAAGGTGAAAAAAAGATTATTTTTCTTTTTTGAGTATATAGGTGTTTTCTAATATACCACTCAAAATTAAGACATAAGACTTCAATTTGAGTGGCTTTCTAGCTACTCTGCCAGTCTTTTTTTTTTTTTTTCTTCTTCTTTTGCTTGTGCCCAGTTGATTTCCTAAGGGACTAATGATCTTTTCTTACCTTTGTGCTCTCTCATTAACTCAGGTTGTCCCTCAGAGGACGAAGGAACTGGAACCTAAAGGCTTACTAGTGGTCACATTTGTAACAGGACCCCGTGGACGTTGCTGAGGGTGAAAAGAGCACAGCTTTTAGCACCATAGTTTATTTCCTTTGAAATTTCAGCACCATCCTGGCACTTACCTCACGCTCTTTTGGCTTTCAAAACTCTCTGATGCATTCAAGCATGTAGTTATTTATAAATATATATATGTGTATATAAAAGTGCTGACGTACAGTGCTGTCTACATTAATGAAAGCAGAGAACATGATTTATATTTTGTTGAGTAAACTCTAGTACTTTTGGATAAAGAAGACTTTAGCAGGTACAAACGGCAGGCCAAATCCTAAAGCTGTTTACTAGCCGTTAATTCCAGGCTCAATCCAGAAGCTCTTACTCAAGCAAAATGCCTGCAAAGTAATCGGATGGTTTGTCTTGTTATTCTTGAATTTTGGAAGAGTGCTGTGTAATTTTTTTTAAATTGTGCAGGTTTCTATCAGCCCTATGTCATCTCATTCCTCAGGAGTGACTACTTGTGCAGTGTTGTATTATATGGTAAATCACCTGCAGCTGCAATGTATCACAGTATGCTGCAGACAGTGTTTTTACATTTTTACTTTAATCATCTGCCATGAGTAACAGATACTGTAAGTGGCAAAATACTTTGTCTTGAAAAGTAGCCATTGAAATACTGCTACAAAAGTAACCATAGAGTTTGGAAAATTATATGGTACAAAATAACCTATTTTGTTACATACAGTTTTATTCATTTCTGAAAATGATTGTTCTTTTGCAGGCATGGAGATCTAATGTAAAATTAATAGAAAATACTTCAATTGTTCAAATAGCTCTTAAATGTATTTTAGTTTGATAACTGATTGCATATTATGTTTGCAGCCTTTGTGCAAAGCAGTGTTTAATAGCAGAGTTTGCTCCATAATGAACACAGATGAAGGCTGCTCTTTATAGTATCAATCTAAAAATCCATGTGTATTAATATAATGCTGTTGATGTTAAGTTGTCCTGTTGCTTGGAATTGATTGCCACATTGCTTGGCACATAGCTGTCAACTAAGAGAACTCCTTGCAACTCCAACTTAAGACTTAACACTTCCCATTTAGAAAATGACCTTACAATTTAGTCAAATGACTAGACTGCTGTGGAACAGCAGCTGTTGGTGGAAAGTTCTCAAAATTGGCATGGATCACACACTGGTCTCTCTTTAATTGCTGATGTCGTTGCCTGTGAATGCAGTGGTTATCAATGACTGTAATTGCTTTATAGTTCTCAGACCATTCCCTAATGGTTAGCATTGACTTTTAGCTTTTAAGTTGAAAATATCTGAGGATTAATCTATTGGTTTGTTTTGTGCATTTTCTAGCAACTTTGTGTAAATTGCTAATTATTAATAACACCCTTGAGGCATGAAAATAAATACTGTAACATTCTCATGATGAAATACATTTTCTTTTGAAATCTCTGGGACCATATTTGGTGCAGTTGATTTACATAACTTGCCTGCATAGTATTGTGAAAGAGTAAAATAAAACAGCTCAGCTGCACCTGCTGTCTTCGAGATGTTTCTGAGTGCAGTCCCAGACAAGCATGGGGTTTTTTTGTCATCTCTTTGGCCCATTGCCCACCTGCCCTGGACCACTGCAAAATGCAGTGCCTGATCTCATAATTTTACCATAAGGTAAAATGACAAGTTCTCAGCATGATCTGCTACTTAAGTCTGGTTTTGTTAACAGTTCTATGTTTGTCACTAAAGAAATTAAATCTGTCTGGAAGATTGTCTACAGAGAGGTATGATCATCAAATGAAAAACCCTTGCATTTGTAAAGGTTTAAAAAGGTAATTAAAGGTATCACTGCTTTAGAGCACTTACCCTCATTTGATGTTTAGTCCTGTTCTGTAATATTCAGTGTGGAATAGTTGGTCGTGTGACTCAAGTTGTGTAAAGTCAGCGTTGTGAAGGTACTCTCAGCAGTACTGGGTACAAATATACTTTGAAGCTGTTTCCTGTTGTGGAGTTCTTCCTGCAAGGTGGTGTATTAGCATACACCACCTTGCAGTGTGGTGTATGCTAATACGTTACAACTTGCAACTTGCAGTGTTTTATTGCTTAATTTAAGCATAGTTTGCATTTCTTATGGTTTGATTGGTTGGCAAAGCATGCAGAAATTCTGAGTCAGATGCACCTATTTCTGGATGCCCAATATAATTAGGTGCAGCCCTGAAGCAACATGTTTTGTGCAACTTTCCAGGCACACAAAATGCAGAAATACAAGGGAGGGTTTAAAAATTGTTTGGAAAAAAATTAGTGCCATTTAACTTTGAATTATGATTGTATTTGCTCTGATGAGCTTCATAATTATGAGCTTCTGCTGCTTTTTTTTTCTTCCTGTTTTCTTTTTGAATTCTTTTTTTTTTTTTTTTTTTTTTTTTTTTTTTTTTTTTTTTTTTGTTTTAGTAATTATAACTTTGATACATATGAAATATGCCAGATGGACATTCCTGGAAATGTCAGTGTCCTGTATAACCTTGGAGCATTTATGTAGAACCAACATGGTCATTAAATTCCCAAAATTTCTGTTTTCTGTAACCTTGTCCCAGGACATTGATGTTGAAAGTGAGTTTTGTTTCTGTAGCTTATGTAGTCTGGTTTCCATGACCAGCCTGCTAAAAATTGTGTTAATTACTGGTACTGCAGTTGGGTGCACGGTGCCAATTGAAAACAGGACTGAAACCAGCAGCTTCTACCAGGCATTATTCACTGCTGCTAATTTTTAACTCCTAAAAATTGGGTTTGAATTTGTCACTAGGAGAGGAAAGCAGTTTGTAATTGATACTTGGATACTTGAAAAGTATCCAAGAAAGGTTTCTGTACTTTTGAAGACAAAGGTTCTATTGAAGAAATAAGTTTGAACTGCATCATATTAAGTGCTTAATTGCTTGTGTGTAAATAAGGGAGTAAAATCCATAGGGGTAGTAATTTAGGGAGAAATTAAATGCCACAGTGTATAGTATTGGTTTCTTTGAAATACAAGAAATCTATCAATGCCCAGAGCACAAAATCACATTCATCCATTTATTGACAATATTTCCTCCTGAGAGAAGTGTGTAGAATTTAAAGATCTAAGGAAAAAAAACATTTATTATGCACTTTTTAAAAGAAACCCAGAATCTAATTTTCTTCTTTAGATTTGTTTTTGGAGATCTTCCCCAGTTTTATTGGCTTTGCTTGGCAGGTGATGCCCCATATCAGCTACCCCTGGCTGAGTGCAGGCATGGTTCTTTCTGGGTAGTACCAGCAAATGTCTGTCAGGGTGTGGCTGTGTGAAACCCGGCTTGCTTTTTGGTGCTCATAAGCTGCTGCTGTTATGGTAATCACTTCAAATCTGGGTAGGCACTCTAGTCTGTAGTGATGTGAATGCTAGGTTTGGGTCACTATGTTTCACAGTTGCAGTTAGTTGGGTCTTTTCCCTGTTCATCTTAATTTTTTATTTTTTTTTTAATAGAGGATCTTGTTGTGTCTTGTTTGTTTCCCCTATTAAAAACCCTTTGCATGTCATTTCTTTTTTCTGTAAAAACCTAACCTTAAAATTAAAAAGACTCAATTTAATATATGCATATTACAAAATTATGTTAAATACTTGACTAGATGATTCACTTTCTTTTATTTAAAATGCATTTTATAATCCAGTTAGGCAGATAATAACAGTAAATGCATTCCCTAATCAAGAAAATAACATAGACAACATCTTAAGTTTCTAACAGAAGCAAAATGAAGTGACATTGGAGACTCACAGAGTAGAAAAATAAAGCCAAAACTGAAATTTGGGGAAATTGCTGGGGCATTTTTTTGTTTATTTTTAAAAATTTGGGAGATAATTTTTATTAAAATATCATTGTAAAACCCCTGAATCATAGTTTTGAAAACTAACATTGATGTGAATGAACATTTATCCCTTGCTCTGTAGCTTTCAAAATGTTGACATTTCTCCCATGCTTTAAGCATTCCCTTCCTTTCTGTGCTGTTTTCCTTTTGACCCAGCAGCCATACCCTGGATAGGTGCGCCAGCTAAACGTGAGCATGTTTAGCTGTTATTTCATGTGTGTGCTGGGTTATTCCTCATGCTGAATGCATACAGAAGCACCATCAAGTGAATGAGTTCCCACAAATTGCAGGCCCACTTTTGGGGGGACTTTTCTGTATATAATTATGTGTGTATGTGTGTATAAACGTGTTATTAAAGTAGCAGCTCCTGATCTTGAGGTGAAATGATGTGGGCTTTCCTGTTTCCACATCACTGAGGTCTAACTTGCACCACAAGTGACTGGCTGCATCTATCCTGTCTTGTACTTGGCATCTTGTACCCTTCTGGGCATCAGGTGATAGTCCTTACACGTATTCCTTGGGTTTTGTCCAAATTATCCAAAAGAATGAGAAAACTATGTTGCAGCCCATCAGAATGGTGGTTTTTGTAGCACTAAACTTAAACCACATGTTTTATTACCTACTGTTAAGTACCACGTGAACGAGTTCTGTGGCCACTTCATCCATCTGATGTCCTTATCCCAAAAATTAGGGGTTGTGGGAGCAAACTGCTCCTGAAGACAAAGAGCAAACCAGAGGTGGAGGCTTGAACAGCTGAAGTGTCCAGGAGTGTGGTGTCCAAGACCTCTTCCTGGCCTTTAGCAGTGTAGGCACACCCAAAACTCCACAGACCATGGTGTAGAAGGGGTGATTGGCAGTCAGAGCTAGCAGAGAATGTTCTTTGTCTTCTGAAAATGTGGGATTAAAAAAATTCCATCCCAAATTGCAACAAAGACTGGTTCCCTCTTTTCTAAATCAAATGTAAAAATATCTCTTAGATAGATGTTGTGCTTCAGTTTAGCCCCAACATGCTTTTTTTTTTTTTTTAAATATACTGAGTTTAACTTCACTAAGAAGACTTTCTCACCTGAAATCAAAGGCTTTCCAGACTTCTGAATATTCCTGTGAAGCAGAAATAAAATCAATAATTTCCTTTGATGAAAGTTTAGATTCTTGTGAATTGGTATGTTTTTTCAGGAGAAATATTTGCTAAAAATTCACAACCAGCCATTCTCTCTTCCACTCTCCCCCTTTTCTCTGCAGATGACCAAAATGTGGAAAAGAGGTGAGACTCCTACTAGAGATTTGCTGTTGCATTTTTCATGAGGAATTCACAGAGGGGAGGCTGATACTCTAGGGATGAGCTTCTTCGCTCTGCTTGGTGCTCTAAGCAGCACAGTTCAGTATTACAAGTACAAAGTAGATGTGCAAAGGAAGCTGAAGGAAAGGGTGGAGAGATGGCATGTAAGTACTGCTCAGTACTGGTTAAAAGTACTAGAAGCTGTTAATAGAGTTTGGCAAGCTGACCTCCAGTTTTAACTTTTAACCACCCACTTCTACTCCTCCAGAAAAGACAAATTATTGTGAAAAAAACCATGACTCTTTCTGGGCTGGCTTCTGAATCTTGGTGAGCAAGGGTGCTCTGACTTAAAACCATTGAAGTTGTATGTGTGAATATGTTTTTCACCCTTTTTTACTCAGACTGTGTGTCTTTGGTAACACTTTCAGTTTGAATGTGGGTGTTTTCCAGGGCTTTTGCTGTAAGGGAGCTGAGGGCTATGCTGCAGTGCCCTGCTGCAGAGCTGATAACCACAGCCTGCTGGCTGCAGCACGGAGCTGGGCTTGCACAGCGCACACTGAAGAGACTCCAGCCTTGGCAGTTGTAGAGGGCCCAGGTCTTATCCCTCAACACTGCAGACATGGCTCTGAACAGGGGAATGGTTAATACTTGAAAACCTTTAATGAAAAAGCTGCAGTGTCATAGTTTTAGCTGTTCCAGGCTTCTCCTTTTGTCCTACTAGAGATGCAGGCACTTCAGAAGAATCCAACTAAAAGGAGACATTTGTCCTTCAGAATGGGACAACAAAGATAGAATCCATAGATAGAATATCCATATAGAATCCCAGCATCTAGAATAGTTGGGATTGGAAGGGGCCTTTAAAGATCATCTAGTCCAGAGCAGGGACCTCTGCACCTAGATCAGGTTGCTCAGAGAACCTGGCCTTGAATGTGTCCATGGATGGGACATCTTCTACCTCTTTTGGCAAACCTTATATTTTTTGCTTCCTTTTACCTCAAGTTTGTATATGTAAGTAATATTTTGAAGTGTATTTTATCCCCCAAATAAAAGAAAGAAAGGTTTAAAAAAGATTAAAGAAATTAAAGAAAGGTGAGTCCCTTCATATGTATTCCTTCATCTTTACTTATGATTTTTCTAGCTTGTTATGTTTTTTTTAAGACCTGTAAACAAAGTGAGCAGTTCAGGTATCAAATGCAGCATTTGTGGACTTTATATGAATGTACAAAATGTTTGGACTGATAAATAGTGTGTGTAGTAGTACTTTTGTGTTTGGTAGTAAGATGTAATGTTTTAACCTTTTTATTTTTATCTGTGCCTGAAATACTTTTAGATAAAGAAACCCTGTTACTATGCTACTAATCAGAGGATAATTCAAAGCAAAGTTTCTGTAAGTTAGAAATATTCTTCAGGTTGTTTCACATTTCATAACTCCTACTTGAGAGAATGCAAATGAAGCAAGCCAGTAATTGAAGACCAGTTGATGTTACACACTGGTGTTTCTTTTAAATTTGGCTTGAGGCATAGAATAACAGCTTGAGAAGCCAGTACAACAACCACTATGTTTTATGATTTATTTAAAGTAGTCACAGTTTTAAGCATGAAGGAGCTTGTTAAAGCTGTGGTCTTGATATTAAAAAAAAAATATTCATAGAAAAATATATGCCCTTAAATGTGACGATGTTTTCCTGTCTGGTGCTGCTGCAAGGACTGAGGATTTGTTAGATCAGGAAAATAACCTAAAAACTGTAGCATTTTTAAATGTTATGCTATGAAATACCAATCAAGTGCCATTCAGCATTGAGTTCTGGGAAAATAGTGTGTGTGTTTGGCTATTTCTGTTTTTCCCAGCCTTACTGGTCTCAGTT